CTGTGGACGCTACGCCAAAAGCTGGAAGACTTGCTACTTGGCAAGATCAAAGCTAGACAGGTGCGGGTTCGGAGAACGTACTATGAGTACGGTAATAAGCCCAGCAGGTCCTTGGCTCTGGCACTTAGAGACGCCAGGGCACAGACTTACATTCCTTCCATAGCGGGGAGGGACGGTGGCGTGCTTACCAGCTCGGAGGCAGTGGCGACCCGGTTTAGGGACTTCTTTACGGAGCTGTACAATCTGGAGACCCCACAGACCCCGGACGTAACCGCCAGACGCCTGGCCAAAATACAGTCTTACCTCACTCAGGCGAACCTCCCCACATTGTCATCTGAGGAGGCCAAGGCGCTAGACATGCCTATCATGGCTGAGGAATGGCAAACGGCTCTTAAACTGATGCAACCTCGCAAGGCTCCGGGGCCGGACGGCTTCTCCTTGCGTTCCTACAGGCATATAATTCCCTACTCGCCGGACACTCTTTCCCGGCTGACTCCCTCCGGGCCACAATCACAGTCATCCCTAAGGAGGGGAAGGATCCCTCCCTATGCGCTAGCTTCCACCTGATCTCTCTACTTAATGTGGACCTGAAGTTGTTCTCGAAGATCCTTGCTAACCGCCTTCTGCAAAGTGTAAGCAAACGTATCTTCACCGACCAGATCGGCTTTCTGCCCGGCCGAGAGGCCAAGGATAACACGGTTAGAGTACTTAACGCGATTCATTTAGCCACAGAGAAACGTATTCCCACTATACTCTTGTCCACTGACGCATAAAAGGCGTTCAATCGGGTGAACTGGTCGTTCCTACTGGCTACACTTCGGGCTATGGGCTTTGGCAACAACTTGTGCCAGTGGGTGGAATCCATATACTCCATACCCTCGGCCCGAGTGAGGACCAATGGAACGTACTCCGACCACTTCTCCCTTTTCGAACGGCACTAGACAGGGATGCCCACTCTCCCCATTGCTTTTTATTCTCTCACTAGAACCCCATCTCTGCAGAATTAGAAACAATCCGGACATTGCAGGTTTACTCACAGGCCACAAGACCCACAAAATAGCGGGGTATGCCGACGATCTGTTATTTATCCTAACCAACCCCACGATCTCACTCCCGAACCTGATGACTGAACTAGAGCGGTACGGGGGGCTATCACACTTTACAATAAACTTCCAGAAGTCAGAAGCTCTCAACCTCACGGTATCCCAGCTGACGCTGGCAGGTCTTCAGGCTGCTTTTCCCTTCCGCTGGCCCCCTTCTCATATCACTTATCTGGGGACCAAATTACCCACCCAGGTAAATAAGGTCTTCGAGCTGAACTTCCCACCTCTGCTCTCGGTGATCCGTCGGGACCTGGCCAAATGGTTGGGGCGTACGCTTTCATGGTTCGGGAGAAACAGCGTCCTCAAGATGAATGTCCTCCCACGCCTGCTCTACTTGTTCCAGACTCTGCCAGTACACATACCAATGACATTCCTGAAACAGGTTAGGAGGGAGTTTATGTCCTTTTTGTGGGCACATGGCTCACACAGACTGAGTACAGGCTAGCTCCACTCTGCCACTGGCGGGCCTTCTATGGACGACACAATCCTTGTCTAGAGCAATCATTCACCATCCCCTAATAGGAACCACGATCCGCGTACTTAAAATGTCGCCCACGGTATTCTCAGATACTGCGTCCCCATCACTGCTGACCCCAGTGGTGGGAGACCCCGCTTTTGCTCCCAGCATAGAGGACGGCTCCTTCTTAAGACTCGTGACAGCGGACAAATTCAGACAGGGACACTTCCTACCTCGTCGAGATTGGGTAAACCTAGAGACTTTGGCCAATCTGGTTGCACCTCCCCTTCTACGCTGGCAGACCCTCCAACTCCGGAGTTACCTCCTCAAATTAGCCAACTCCCCTACCCCACGCTCGGACCTAACTCCGTTTGAGGAGATATGTCTGGTGGGCGGATACGTTGATCATGGTCTTTCCACGGCCCATACCCTCTTAGTGCAAACTCCCGATACTTCCGATCCCAGCTTCCTAACAAATTGGGAGAGAGATCTATCCACCACCTTCTCACAAGACCAAAAGGACTACATACTCCATTTTGCTCATAAGGCATCTACTGTGTCTGCTACCCAGGAAACTGGATACAAGATACTTACCAGATGGTACTTTGTACTCACTCGACTACACAAAATGTTCCCCCAAACCCCACCAACATGCTGGAGATGTGGACAGGCGGAGGGAACCATTCTCCACACATTCTGGTTCTGCCCTAGCCTTCGGGTCTACTGGGATGAGGTCGTCAGGATCATAAAACATTTGACGGGTATGTCTCTGACTGGGGATCCAGCCGCGCTGTTGCTCCACAGGTCCACCCTGTCTCGGACCAAATACCGCGCTTCTCTACTCATACATTTAGTAAATTCTGCCAGGGCCTGCATACCACTACGGTGGAAAATCCCTAACCCACCCACGGTCGCAATGTGGCTGCGGAAAGTAGACGAGACGCGGGTAATGGAGGAGCTCACTGCAGCCTTACACCACACCGATAGCAAATTTCGGAAAACATGGTTCTATTGGCTAGAGTACCTCTATTCCCCGGAGTACGGGGCACTCATGGTGGAATGAAACTCACTTCCATGCCCGAGGGGAAATGATTCTGAGCGTCCTCAGCTATAGCCTGCCGCCCTAGTCGCGTAGGTTCCTGGGCCTCGCTACCCTCTCACCTGTCGGGTCATGGCTGAACGCCTATCCAACTTGTACCTATGGTAACCTAATTAATGACCGCCTGCATCCCTGCTCTCCCCCTACCTTAGTCCTGCATCTTTTTCTATCTTTCTCCTTACTTTCCTTCCCTGCTGGGCTGCCTAGGCTATGGCCCTGGCATAGCGTACACCTAGTCACAATGCCCTCAGATTAGAGTCGGAATTAGTATGACCATTCCACAGCTTAGTAGGTGCGCCCCATCTAAAGAGGAGGTGCCGGTGTAATCCGCACTGTCTAAAAGTCATTTGAATCCAGTGGAAATGGCTCATCTTATCTTTACACTGGGTGTATATGCTATGTCCAATGTTTACGTATACTACTGTCCAACCTCTTCTTCTGTATTGCACTGTTGTTTTACTTACTTGAAAACTGAAAATAAAGAATTTAAAAAAAAAATCCTGTATTATTATAATAATAATTCAATTGAAGCGATCCGGGCGACAAACTATTCTATCAGTCCTTCCAATTATAGAATCCCCTATTACCACAACCTGTCTAGGCCTTCCTGCATTACCCTCACCACCCAGATTAGTTGCGCTGCTGTCCTGGCTTTAAGGCTGGGTTCACACCTGGGCATAGCATAGGCGCGTTTTTTCTGCTCGTTTTTTTTTTTTTTTGCGTTTTTTAGCACTTTTTTTCCGTTCGTTGAAACGCACATTTCACTGGCGGTATGATTTTATTTTTTTTCCCTTTTTATTATTTTCTCTATTTATTGAAGAAAAAAAAATAACTTTCAAACTTCCCGCCAGCTCTGCCCCCCAGCGACGTGGCCGCTCGCAAGGGACGGAACCCGGAAGTCGGCAGCCGCCGGGGGACACAGCGGGGATCGCGGGCAGGTAAGTCCTGCGCTGTATTCCCAAGTGTGGCTCGGGGTTACCGCTTTGTTAACCTCGAGCCACACTCGGGAATACCAATGAAAATGCGCGGAAAACGCCCCAACGAAGCTCCTGCACTGGTTTGGGCGTAGGGCGCTTTTCAGTGCGTTTCCATGGGCTGAAATACGCCCAGTTGGGAACCATGCCCATAGTGAAGTATGGGATTTCACTGTTTGAGCATTTTTCAGCGCTTCGATCAGCACTGAAAAACGCCCAGGTGTGAACCCAGCCTTAGGGGTAGCAGTGACATTTAGGGCCGCCAACTCTGAATTTGCCACCCGCACATCTTCACTCAACTTAGCAGATTTGTTTGGGTGCAGGACTTGCCTTCCATTTCTCTGAGTGCCTGCCACTCCTAGCTACAGTAACCAAGCTTCCTACCTTATCCTCGCTTACCCTTGCACCTTCCACATCAACACCATTAACTGCTTTGCTCAGTGAGCAGCAGACTCCTCTCAAGGTTGTCTCAGCCTTCTCAGTTTTGCAATTTGTTCTTCCAGATCTCTTATTTGAGCTTCAAGGAGTGCACCCTGCTCCCATCTGTCACATCGATATTTACCCTGAAGCTGTGGCTCCATATGTGTATACGGAAGGTTGGCCCCATCATGCACTGACCATCGCACAGTTAAATTAGTGGTCGTTAGCAAAATTTTGTCCGAATTTCGTTAATTGATGGCACAGATTTTCGTTTGCGCATGAGCAGTGTTAATCGTGCGATTTTTGACGTACGAAAACTTCACCAACCTAGTGAATTTCGTACAATTCGACAGAGGTTTTCAGGCCTGTGGGAAAGTCAAATGTCTGAAAATTGTACAGTATTTGCGGTTGAACACTGCCCATCAACCTTGAGAATATCATACGAAAAGACGATCGCAAAAGAAAATCGTAAGGTAAGCATAAGGTGTATGGGCACCTTTTAAAAATAATTGCTCATTACATTATGCATAACCTGCCTGGCAGCATCTAAGCCCTTTTAAGGAGATGACATGTACAAGGGTAACGTAGAATGAGGTTTATATGTATGATTTAAAATGAATGATAATAAAACAGCCTACACGTGCTGTATTTATCACATGTCTATCAAACTAAATATTGGTTGCCAATGCCAAACCTCTGTTTTGTTGCAGAATGTTTTTACCATTAACGTATATTTTTGTGTGCTGTTAGTACTAGCTTATAGATTGCATTTTCGTGAATATTGGTCAATTCCATACTATTTTCCAATAAAAGTAAATTGTTCGCTATTAAGTATCTCCTGTATTCGAGTTCTTCTTCAAAATATCCCCCGCAGATTATGCATAATTAGGTTGTAAGCTGTAATAGTGGATAGTAATAAAATTATAATTTGTGTCCTCACTTAACAGGTTGTATCACCAGAGTGTCGTGATGACATAGCCGTTAAGAAAGATTTTATTTGTGTACGCTCATTTAAAGATGGAAAATTGTAAGTATGAGGTTTTTTTTTTCTTTTTTGACAGATAATAAGTTGTGGATTTTGAGACTGTTATCTTTTTCCCCCCCAGCTTTTCTGTGGCGAAAGCAGATATTCGAGACATTGATGACATCTCTCTTAAAACTGACTGTGTTTTAATTCCAGGTAAGAAAATGTAACTTTATTTTTTTCTGTTTAATAAAAGATTGGGAGGTTTTGTTAAGAACAAATCAACTTAACATGGACCAGTCACTTATTTAATCCTATTGACTTTACAAAGCTCCACATACACTGTGTAAGTGAAGTAAAGAAAACAGTATTTATTTATTTTTTGCATGAAAACCCAAAAAAATACTTGTTTGGATGTATTGCATATTGCATCAACACATTAGTTCTATAGCATGTGATATATGCTGTACAAGTTCCATGAAGAGTCAATGCAACTGTATGCAGCATTTTTATTACTCAATGCAGGACTGATTGGGAATGGAAACACATTATAGTCATTTGGTAAATACATCATGATTTTGGTTTATAATACTGTAGTCCCTTTATTTTTTATTGTAGAAAGTAATATTCATGTAGACATTGCCTTAGACATGTAAATATGTTAGATTTAGTAAGAGGATAACCGTTTTAATTGAGAGAAATTCCCCCAATAGGGCTACAGACAACAGTAAAGCCCTAGCAGAGGTCGCTGTATAAAACTTGACCCTTCCCCACTGTACCCAAAACTAAATAGAATGTTTTGGCTGGAGCTGGGATTTAACCCTTTCCTTGCCAAGGGCTTTTTTGCGGTTTATTTGTACTCATGTTATAATCCACATTTTAGGCCTTAAACCTACTTATAACCCCCAAACATTATACATTTTCTGAAAACAAAGAACCTGTATAATTGTTGACATTTACACATTTTTATGTGGTACAATATTAGCGCAACTTTTTATCAAACCCAAAAACTTGGTTGAAAATGCACTTACTTTAATTGTATTGCGCAAAAATAGAATATAATTTTTGTTCTGAAAATATAAAAGATGAGATTACTACGAGTAAATAGATATCCAACATGCCCAGGTTAAAAATTGTGTGCGTCCGTGAAACGCTTTAAAAGCCAGTACAGGTCATCAGTTTAAAGATATCTGTGAATATTGGCATTAGAATTTTTGCTCTCACTATATGGCACATAACGATACCTAACGTAGTGCAATCATCCTTTTCCAAAGTAGGTGCACCCAACGCAGCTTTACGTTAATATGCATGCACCCCAGGGGGGTGGGCGACTTTTTTAAAAATATATTTTTATTCTTTTTACATTTTATTTGATCTTATTTTTTAGAAAAACATGTTTAAATGTTTTTTACTTTATTGCTATCACATAAGGGGGCTTACATGCCCCCTATGTGATAGGACATTGAAGGTGACAGGTACTCTTTAAGGTCTTTTCCACTCCAAATAAGCTATTGGAGTTTAGATCGCGCTCCAATAACTTATTGCCAGCCTTCTGCAGCTGAGCACTGACAGATAAGGGAACGGAAGTGACGCAAGTGAGTCAGTCGCTTCCAGTTCCTTAGAGCGAGCAGGAGATTGGCAAACAGATGTTCGTCAGACTCCTTCCTGGCGACACCTGACATAACGGTCTTGGGCCCAATCATTTAAAGATGGAAAATTGTAAGTATGAGGTTTTTTTTTTCTTTTTTGACAGATAATAAGTTGTGGATTTTGAGACTGTTATCTTTTTCCCCCCCAGCTTTTCTGTGGCGAAAGCAGATATTCGAGACATTGATGACATCTCTCTTAAAACTGACTGTGTTTTAATTCCAGGTAAGAAAATGTAACTTTATTTTTTTCTGTTTAATAAAAGATTGGGAGGTTTTGTTAAGAACAAATCAACTTAACATGGACCAGTCACTTATTTAATCCTATTGACTTTACAAAGCTCCACATACACTGTGTAAGTGAAGTAAAGAAAACAGTATTTATTTATTTTTTGCATGAAAACCCAAAAAAATACTTGTTTGGATGTATTGCATATTGCATCAACACATTAGTTCTATAGCATGTGATATATGCTGTACAAGTTCCATGAAGAGTCAATGCAACTGTATGCAGCATTTTTATTACTCAATGCAGGACTGATTGGGAATGGAAACACATTATAGTCATTTGGTAAATACATCATGATTTTGGTTTATAATACTGTAGTCCCTTTATTTTTTATTGTAGAAAGTAATATTCATGTAGACATTGCCTTAGACATGTAAATATGTTAGATTTAGTAAGAGGATAACCGTTTTAATTGAGAGAAATTCCCCCAATAGGGCTACAGACAACAGTAAAGCCCTAGCAGAGGTCGCTGTATAAAACTTGACCCTTCCCCACTGTACCCAAAACTAAATAGAATGTTTTGGCTGGAGCTGGGATTTAACCCTTTCCTTGCCAAGGGCTTTTTTGCGGTTTATTTGTACTCATGTTATAATCCACATTTTAGGCCTTAAACCTACTTATAACCCCCAAACATTATACATTTTCTGAAAACAAAGAACCTGTATAATTGTTGACATTTACACATTTTTATGTGGTACAATATTAGCGCAACTTTTTATCAAACCCAAAAACTTGGTTGAAAATGCACTTACTTTAATTGTATTGCGCAAAAATAGAATATAATTTTTGTTCTGAAAATATAAAAGATGAGATTACTACGAGTAAATAGATATCCAACATGCCCAGGTTAAAAATTGTGTGCGTCCGTGAAACGCTTTAAAAGCCAGTACAGGTCATCAGTTTAAAGATATCTGTGAATATTGGCATTAGAATTTTTGCTCTCACTATATGGCACATAACGATACCTAACGTAGTGCAATCATCCTTTTCCAAAGTAGGTGCACCCAACGCAGCTTTACGTTAATATGCATGCACCCCAGGGGGGTGGGCGACTTTTTTAAAAATATATTTTTATTCTTTTTACATTTTATTTGATCTTATTTTTTAGAAAAACATGTTTAAATGTTTTTTACTTTATTGCTATCACATAAGGGGGCTTACATGCCCCCTATGTGATAGGACATTGAAGGTGACAGGTACTCTTTAAGGTCTTTTCCACTCCAAATAAGCTATTGGAGTTTAGATCGCGCTCCAATAACTTATTGCCAGCCTTCTGCAGCTGAGCACTGACAGATAAGGGAACGGAAGTGACGCAAGTGAGTCAGTCGCTTCCAGTTCCTTAGAGCGAGCAGGAGATTGGCAAACAGATGTTCGTCAGACTCCTTCCTGGCGACACCTGACATAACGGTCTAGGGCCCACAGGAGGTGCCCACAGGCGGAGCCCAGTAAACGGGGCGGGGGGGGGGGCACACTTCACGGGCCCGTGGTAGCGATCTGGACAGAAGCTCAGAATAGCTTCCCAATGTAAAGTCAACAGTCGGCTTTACAAATGTAAACCATGTCTCTATAAAGGGGCCCGATGTAGGAGATATTTACGGGTTAAAGTATATATTTTCTAGATGTTTTATCATCTTCTGATCACACCAATGTTTTAGTGCTCATTACTGCCTTGTACTAAAATTATATTTGAACTGACATTTCTGTGTGTTGCCAAGCATATGAGGATGCAATGGAGTTTATAAAAAACAAAGCTATACCTACCAACTGGAAAGCAGAGTTAAAAGAGGAAACCTCAAGTAGTGAATCAGAAGATGAAGATGGGGAGACAAAAGATGATCAAGAAAACAGTGGCAGTCAAGATGAGGCACGTTACTGTATGTTTTTTGTTACCTTTTAGCAATGCATTTTATATTATTGGGTAATGTTTTGCCATTATGAATGATTTATATGTTTAATGCTAAAAGGTTTTGATTTACCAATTTGAAGTTAATAGAGAATAAAACCTTACAAAAAAATGACTGCAGTTTTTGTTATATGTAAAAAAAAATCTGTTTTTTGGACACACAAAAAACAGCAATATTGCAGTACAGCTGAGGTATTACTGCAGTACATCTAAAATACTAGTAAAATACAACTGCAATACAGGTGAAGTATTTCTAAAATACTGCAAAAGAACTACAGTATTACTGCAATACAGCTGAAGTATTATTGCAGTACATCTAAAATACTAGTAACAGGGTTATTCACAAAAGGGTGGAGAGTTTGGAGAAGGCAGGAGAAGTGAACAATCTGTGACAACATAACTGAACTAGAAAGTGAGCTGAATTGGAGAATTTTTCCAAATTAGCTATTTTGGCCTAGATTGTTCACTTCCCCTGCCTTCTCCAAACTCTTCACCCTTTTATGAATAACCCTGTAAAATACAACTGCAGTACATGTTTCTCTTTGTAAATGTTACTTACTTTATTCTACAATGTAACTAATGTCTTACTAGACCATTACCCAGAAAAATAATAATTGCCAAAGTGTTCTTACAAAAATAACTAGTTAAGGTTTAAGCTTTCACACACACACACACACACACACACACACACACACACACACACACACACTTGCTGTAGACTAGTACTGTAACCACAGCACTGGCTACATGTTGCACAATACAGTATACTTGCAGTTACAATGCAGTATGAGTGCAGTAGTGTATCAATACTTCATTATATTGCAAACCCACAGTTGCACTTCATTTTACTGCAGATGTACTTTTTTGTTCTGCAGGTTTACTGCTGCAAGGGCTAGTTCACACCAGCCACAGTGCGTTCCGGTCCGAATCTGGCCAGAACGCACTGGATCACAATGTGGCAGGCTCACTTTGTTGTGGGGCGGGAGGGGGCGTGGCAGTGCATTAAACTGTGTATGTGTAGGCCCTGCGATAATTGCGGGAATGTTTCTCAAATTAATATTAAACCGATAAAAATACACGATTCAATTGATAAAGCACACTAAAATCAGTATCAGTGCACAAAAAAAATATTTTCTGACTAAATCTAAAAGATAAAACTGTATTGAGTTAATAAATAACAAATATTTTTTAAATTGCGCTTTTTTGAAAAAAGGTAAACAAATGAAGGAACGCAAAAATGTAAATAAGTGATTTATGTTAAAAATAAGTTTTGCGCTGTGTTGGTGTTTGTGTTGTGATAAAATGATACCGGCGTATATTTAATTGCAACACAAAGTATCAACGCACAGCAATGCGTCACAAAGCTTTGCAATACATTGCCACAGTTAAAATAATGTGGTTTTTTTTTAAAACTCATGCACTGTGATGCATTTTAACAACACACTGCAGCGCATGTGCATGGCATACACCACAATATGGGGGGGGGGGGGGTGTTTTTTTTTTTTTTTTTTTTTTTTTTTTTTCTTTTTTTTTTTTTTTTTTGGATATAGTTTTTATCTTATTGTTTATTTTGTATAATTATTTTCTTACTTTTTAATCACCTTTTGTGTTTTTTTATTTAATTTTTTTTTACTGTTGGGGGGGGTGGGGGGGGGCTTCAGAGAAATTACATTTTTTAAATAGAAAAAGAAATTGAGGACACAACGTCCTCAATTTCTTTTTCTGCAGCCCCGGCACTAAATGAATGGGAAGCACTCAGTACAGAGGCTTCCCATTCATTCAGAAACTGCTGATAGTAAAATGTTTACTGTCAAGCAGTTTATGAATGAGGAGAAGCCTCTGTACTACGTGCTACTCCCCTTTCAGAAATTCATGAATGAACAGGAAGTGATGTAAATCACATCCTGTTCATTCATACTGGGGGCACATAGTACTATGTGTCCCCAGTTATTTCCAAACACTGGAGTGCTCAGACAATCACACCAGTGTTTGTCCTTCACACGGAGGACCGTTAAATATCACAGATATATACCGATCATCCGCTCTGCCACGCACAAAGCCGCTGCCATCCGGAAACGGGATGACAGCGGCAGCTCTCTCCTCCCCACTGGGCTGCTCTTACATGCCGCTCGATCACCGTGATCGAGCGGCTCGTTCCTCTGCCCCCCCTAAGCCGCTGATGACAGCTATTATTTTAAAGGGGACAGTCTGGGGAACAGTTCTGCTATAAGCTCGTGGTCGCCAGCAGACCCCCTGTGGGTGCCACAGGGGGTCTGTGCAGGATCTGTGGGGGGCTTTGCAGGGTCTCAGGGGAAGTATGCCTTACGGCACTGGCAGGGAAAGGGTTAAACTTTTATCTACTGCAGCTGTACTGTTTTTATACTTCATATATTACATACCTGCAGTTGTTCTTAACTACTTAAAGGCCATGGTGTTTCACCCCCTTCCTGGCCAGGCCATTTTTCAGTATTCTGCGCTGCGGTACTTCTACTGATGTTTATTCCGTCATGCAACGCTGTACTGAAATGAATTTCATACCATTTTTTGGGGACAGATAGAGCTTTCTTTTAGTGGTATTTAATCACCACTGGGGTTTTTATTTTTTACTATATAACAAAAAAAGTACCCTAAATTTTGAAGAAAAAACCATGTTTCCCTATAAAATGTTATGAAACATTTATTTTCACCCCAATTTTTTGGTATAATATAAAAGACGGGGTCACGTCGGGTAAATGGACACTAAACATGTCAACCTTTAAAATTGCGCGCGCCTGCGAAATCGCAGAAAACTTCCTGCAACCAAAATTGGCCATAGGCGACGCTTTAAACGTATTTACCGCTCATCAGTTTAGTGTTATCAGTGATTGATGGCCCTAGACTTATTGTTCTCACTGCGA